GGCAGCCATGTGTTTTAGCTGGGCCTCTCTTCTTGACAGTCAGCTGTAAGAAACATGAGGATCAAAGTAGGAAAAGCACTGGAACATAAATGAGTATCGACTCTGTAGAAAGCCAATGACAGCTAAAACTAAGCTTATCGTGACAATCTCACATCAGCTTTTGCCAAGTTGAAATGGAAATCTCTCGCTTGGCTTACAAACACCCAGTTCATTAACCTGTAGAAAAAATGTTACTGCTTACTGTATATCATTAGCATTAAGCTGAAATCCTCAGGGAGGGCTTGGCTGTTTGTTTGCTGTGGGCTTAAACATTCATGCTCATCCTGTTGAATAAACAGGCTCGGATTATCCTAGCAGCTAAAGACAACATGCTAGCTGCTCCAGCAACCATCTCAAACAGATCCACTAAGAAACCATGTTCGTCAGGAGCTTTACAATATTTGCTCTAGATGTCAGATACATAAAGACATATGCCATCTGACCAGCACTGAAAATCTCTTCATTCATTCATTTTTTGAAAGTTAAAATTCCCTCAAATTAAAAAGTAGCAGAATTATTTATGGGACACATTTTAGTTTAATTATATCAGCCAGATAAATTATTTATATCATTAACACTTGAACACCATGTATATTTTACATACACTAAATTATGAACTTGGTAGAAGTTTGCTGAAAATTAGATATAATATAAATTCATATTTTTTTCTGAGGGGAAAGATGCATGGTTTATAATTTTAAAAAAATAAACCATTGCCAATAGTAACATTTATAATAAAAATTCAAATCATTTGTATCATGTTTTCATTCAGTCTAATTCTATTTTAACTGTATTTTGTTTTCTTCAAATTTAGTAGGAAACATTTAATAGGAGATGTTTTTCTATCACACTTTGCAGTAGTTACTGTGTTGAGCTGAAGTCTGTATGTGGTAAAAGATGGCCAAAGCAGCAGAAATAGCCTAAATAGTCAGGATTTAGGTGTTTAGTACTCCCTCTATCCCCTCTCTGGATATGTCCATAAATGAGTGTGAAGCACAGTTGCTGAAGCAGAGCACAGAGAATGTGCTCCCTCAAATACATAAACAGTGTAAAGGTCAGATAGCTTGCATTGCTTTTTTCTTTATGTCCCTCGCATATTTTTCCTTAACGTGCAACCAAAACTAACCGATTGAGCAGGGAAGTTCAGGTCAATAATAGGGTTACTGGAAGTAATAAAACCAGCTGGTGTCCATTCTTGTTCCTGTCCAACCATGCCTTAATAATAGAAAATCTGTAATTTAAAATATTCCAATTGATTCGTGTATTTTATTTATTTATTTATTTATTTATTTACTTCTCTCATTTTTCTCATTTCCCACTCAGTTTGCTGCTCCAGTGTCCTTGTAGATCGCTTCTGTCCTCTAGTGGAGAAATGTGGAAAGGGGCCAAATAGTGCTGTTTACCAGGAGCCAATGTGCATCTTGTTCATGTTTAACACACATTTTAGACATTTTGAGATTAATATTCTAAATGTATTTGGATCCAAATGTAGAATGGCTACAGTTTTTATCTATTGTGTGGCCTGTGTACCCATGACCTCTATGACTCTTTAGTAATCCATGTATAGGTGGATATTTTTAGCCAATGCACCATCACTATACAGTAAGTGCATCCTTACATCTAGCACGGTGAGCCCCTATGGGAATGGAATAGAGTGTGGGTGACCCAGTGGGATTTAAAGCTGCCTCTGTTCTCACAGTTGCATCTCAGCTGTGCTCTGAACAAGACTGACCCACAAAACACAGAAATTAAGAATTGATTTTTTTTTATTATTCCTGTTAGCTTACTATAAAGGTGAAACTATGATAAATCATTTGTTTCTGATATTTTATCCACCTTTTTTACATACTAAAAACAAACTCAAAATCTATAATCTCACCCATCTGTTGGCCACTATTAATTGGAAAATGTGCACCTCTTCTGTGGCTAATGATTTCATAATAATCCTTAGTCTTAAAAGTTAAGTGACATGCAAATACTTCTGTCACATTTTTGGGTGAGCTAAATATGCTAGAGTAGCCTTACATGTCACTGTTTGTAACACAGGCTGTTTATCCTTTGGCCGGTTCGGAATGTAAACTAAATTGCAGATGTATGGTGATATCTTATTACTTTTGTTATCCAGCCAACCGTCCCAAACCCCAAGATAATACGTTTGGATGTAAATAGGATGATATGAAGATATAAAACAGAAAAAAGCACCACATTCTCATATTTGAAAAGACATATTTAGTTGTTTAATTTGGAGGACTTGTTGATGGAAAAAGTGAAACCACTGTACCACTGAATGTCTCAATGTATTTCAGGGTTACAATAATGGTTGAATTCAGTGTGACACTGAATAGGTTGTGTATTTTTACATGTAGCATGTAGTCTGTGTTGAAAATCCTACACAAATACTACTGCTTTAAATACATTTTAATCCGGTTTCTTTCTTTTTCTTTTCTAAATATTTTTTTGTTTATAACTGCATTTAAATGAACACCCAGCAGATGGACTGTTTCTTGTAGAAGACCTAAACACGTCCTCGTTTATATTTGTTGCATTCTGCTTGTCTGTAATTGCATATAATTTGAATATTCAGTGCCATCTGTTTTAACCTCTGTTCTGTATATCCGCCTGTCGGTTTGTCTGCCCCAGTGATTGACTTTATAAACCTGATTCAAGGAACATTTGCTTAATGTTAACTTAATGTTTAACTTGCTGTGCATAAAAATGGTTTATTACATTATTGAAAACAGTTGCGACTATGTTTTGGCAACTCGAGTTTATATTGTCCTCTCTGTCAGTGTTTTGTCTCTGTGGAGTAACCTCAGGAGGTCACTGTTGAGCTAAGGATAAATTGCACATTAGATATTGTCCAGTCAGTGTCACTTTTTGTGACTAAGTCTTTAATGATTGATGTCTGTTCTAGGGGATGGGTAGACATTTGTGTCTAGATGTGCTGTGGTTGCACAGAGAGACATGAAGAAGAATAAACACATGTATATTAACAAATTTAAAATCAGTTACAAATATAAAAGATATATAAAGTGATGCTCCTTGTTATCAAGTCGTCAGAGAGTAAGCTTGTCAGAATTGCAATGCATTCACATTACAGATACACAAAAATGCTGTTAAATGCTGTAACAATGTAAACTTTCTTCACATTTCTTGGACCGATGATAGTGAAAATAGGGAAGGGAGGGGGTTTAGCTCTACACAAACTTAGTGAGTTTGTGAATAGCTTGAGTAACCCAACCTAGATCCTTTTGGTCAACCATTATTTTATAATAAAGGTGAATTCATATTTTTTGTAATTAATTAATTAATTTGAACTGCTATTAGAAACAACAAATTTAAAACGGTCCAGTCTATGTTATGCTCCTATAACCTGCAGTAAATACATTTTTTATTTCACATTCTGTTTGATCATTTTAATATTTACTTTGTTGTTTTTTTTTGCAGCAACTATATATTCTAGAGTTTTCATTAAGTGCCATCCAAACTCGAGTCTCCTAAAAATGGGATTTAGAGGCGACGTTAAGGCCTAGAGATGCTGATCATGTAATTGGGATGCCCCTGGTTTGAGTAGACATCTTTATTGCATTTCTTCCTCCATTTATCTCTTCCCCCTTAATGACCTCTTTATCTGAAAAAGACAAACATAAAGAGAAGATATATTAAAAATAAAATAGGAACTTTTTAGTTTTAGTGTCCCATGATGACATAGTAGATTCTGATTCAGAGGCTTGTACACAAAAGAAAATGTCTATTCTTCACATATAAAGATACTAAACGTCAGCACACAAATTCTGCAACTTCTGTCGAAACAACCCTGCCCTCCAAAACCCATGTCAGTCAAACATTACTCCGCATATCTCTCTCTGAAGGTAGTTTGCAAAGCACACAGCTCAAACAGTAAACAGAAATAGTCCAATAGTATAGCAACAAATGAACTTTATCTCCCAATGCCAACTGCCCTGACAAACAGGAAAGGCAAGGCAAATAATTGTGTAATTTTCTCAGGAGGCAGTGAAAAGATGTTGCATATGGGAGAAAATATAGCTGTAAAAACGTTTGTGCCTCAGACTTTGTTTGTGTCTGACCTACAGATCCCACTTCCTGATTGAATATCATAATAGTTTCTTATCACAAATTCGTAACAAATGTTCTGAAGAATGAGTGTGGGCAATATAAAAACGTTTTCAGTGACACAGACACACACCTAACTTCTGTTCCAAACAATTGTCATATTGAGAAATAAAGGCAAATCATGCATTGCTTAACAGGTACTTTTAAGAGGTCAGAATCTACTTATTTGTTTCCATTTTGGCAGCGGTGTCTACTTTTACAAGGCCATCAACCAACAAACATTTGTATAAACTGTGTCTTAACAGTGACATTTATGCACACAAAAGACATTCAGGTTAGTTTTATATATAGTTTTATGTATTTTTAAATAATGAACATATTTTTATCTAGTGGTAACCCGACTTTGCGGTTTTGCTCTTTTTTTCAGTTATATATATACTAGACAAGAAGAGCCTTAGCAGACTTGCTGAAATGCAACATTTTGTTTGTTCAATTGATTGACTGCAAATGATTACCAAGGAGGAAAAAAACAAATAAACTTTTACAGGAATACTCTTTTTTGTCACTGAATGATAAACATAACAAAAACTGATAATGCAGGGCCTTGAAACCACTGAAACTCTTGTTGCATTACATTAAAAAATAAAACTAAAAATACATCTGTGTCATTTCCATGATTCAATAAGCTTATTCTGCGATATAAATCTAAGTCATACATCAATATAAGGTGTATTCAAGGTTTTGTTAAGGACTGAGTTAGTCATATAAGGTATTGTGTGTGGTCATACCAGCTTTTCTGTGTCCTGTGAGCCTGAGTAGTTGGAGGCTGGAACAGACTTGCGTAAATCATTGAGCAATCTTCTTTTTCCTGCATTGTCTGTGTATAACAGTGTTTCAGTCTCCAGTTTCTACTTCTGCTTGAAGGTTCAGGGTACTGAAGAGAAAATGAACGCAATAACCCGAAGCTGTGTCCTCTTTTTGTGGATGCATACATTCATCTTTGTGAAAAGTCAAGGTAAGACCAAGTAGTTCAAGTAATTTTTGTGGTCAGTTTTTATCATACCATTTAATTCATTGTTAAGTATTTTGTTGTGGGGATAAGTATGGAAAAATCTACTTTTGTTTTTGTGCTGTTTTTCTGTGTCACAGAGTGTACACTTAAACAGTTTTTAGAGGGCCCCTATTATGATTCAAATTTTGACACAAGTGATCTGGAGGCCAGCTACCCTGGCGGAAGACAAGTGAGAGTGAGCTGCGTTGTTGGCTACAGTGGCTTTTTCAGAATCCTCTGTGTTGAGGGACAATGGCAGGCTAAGGGCAATAAATGTCAACGTAAGTTCCTATCTTTAACATTCAGTATTTCTTTTCAGAAATAAACATTTACTATGCAACATGTAATGCAGTCAATGCAGTAGTTTGAGCGCACAATGCCAAAGAATGTTGACTGTATTATATGATATGAATAAAATATGGTCTTGTATGGAAGAACCACTTGCATTAACCATATATTTACTCATATTCTCTCTCATTTTTATGTTATAAGCAAAATCATGTGGTCATCCTGGCGATGCCCAGTTTGCAGATTTTCATCTGGATAAGGGAGAGGATTTTGTCTTTGGGTCAAAAGTTGTATACACCTGCCACAAAGGGTATAAAAATAATAATAATCACACATATATACTGTTGTTTCCTATGTATATTTGTTCTCTCCCAGTATTGTATCCCTGTGATGTAACAAGTTTTCAGTTTATATTCATCTTAATGACACATTTCCATAACCCATTTCATTATACTTGCTTCAGTTATCAAATGGTCAGTCGCACAAACTACCGGAATTGCATGGCTGGAGGCTGGAATGGTGTTGTTCCTGTCTGTGAAGGTAAGAGCTGAAATAACAGATTCATCCGTTACCTGACACATCGGGAAATGTCACTTTTTATGGTTATTTCTTATTATTATCCCTTAGAAATACTGAAAACTTTATTGCTTACCTGCTGAGAGGTCAATACATTTGAAAGTCTGAAGTCTTTTGAAAGTCTTTTTGTCAACCAGTTTATTTGTTTTATCATATTTTTCCTTCAAGCCCAACAGTGCCCAGTGATTCATGTGGACAATAAAGTCCAGGTGATTGGGGACCTAGAGGAAGCAACCTATGGCAATGTAATTCGATTTAGCTGCAAGTCCAACAATGACATGCTGGTTGGGACTCGTGAGATGTACTGTGATGAAACTGGAGAGTGGATTGGCAAAGTTCCTACATGCCAAGGTAAAGCAGACTGTTTAAAATAAAAACAGGAAGAACAGGAGGGATAAAAGAGATGGAAAGGGAAAGACAATAACCCACACAGACATGCTTAAAATGTCGTGGTAACCACTATTACCCAGTAGCTAATGAGTATAACTAAAAACAACTACTGGCCACCTAATATCCACCATGTATGACCATAACAACCAACAGAATTCAGTGATGACCAACACCCCCTAGTTACAAGCTGCATTCACACCAAAGTTTGTTGAACTTTGACTCAATATGTAAAATTCTCCTCTTTAACTATTGTGTGACCCAAAATACCCAAATTGCCTGGGCAAGATGATGTTTTATTATTTTCAAATTTGGGTCAAAACTGAATTTAAAGGTCAGTAGTTTAAACTAAAGTGTATCTCAAACTGAAACGTAACTGATATTAGAACTGAAGACCCCATGAATGATTGTTATGGTCTTGGAAATTAAACCTCTCAAAGTGATAGTTTGCCATTTTGGTATAAGTATTAACTTTCTTTCTTTTGAGAGTTGTCCATTAAATATGGCATTACAGCCAAAAGATGGTTAGCTTAGCTTAGCACAATGACCGGAAGAAATAGTTTTGTCCAAAGATGAGTCACAGTGAAGAAGTTACTGCCACCAAGAAACTGTCTATCATAGGAAAGGAGAGTTAAATACGTGAAAATCAGTCCAACATCCTTCCTACGCAGAACACTTGTACTTCCTAGTACTGATCTTAACTTCAAGGTCCAGATTAATAATTCAAAGGTTAATAACATAAATTATTATGTTTCTACTGTTTGTACAGATAAACAATTTGTTTGTTTTTTTATTGTGAAAAAGTGGAACTGAATTAAAACTGGTTCCAACCAACAATGACCCCAGTTTATTGCCTTAAGAATCTTAAGAAAAAACAGAAGAAAGTACAGATGAAATGCAACAAAGGTCCGCAGCTGCTAACCGGGGACACTGCAAATGCTGCTCAGGATTAATCAATATATTAGTAAATCAGAACTGTAGTATGTTCTCAGGAATTGATTTGAAAAAATGCATCATGAAAGAAAATTCTCAAACTGTGACTCGTGGTTAATACCATTGAATTTAATTCAAATATTTGCCTTTTCATGAACAAGTGTAGTTCAGTCAGACAACTCACATTTGGAATGTTTATTCCAGCATTATGGCATAGTTAGATTTTGGCGTCTCCAACCTCATCACTCCCCGCAGACATTTACATAGAGATATTGGGGAGCAAATACCTTAAACCCCTAGCCGGAGCCTACAGATGGTTGCTGGGGTGGTGGTGGGGCTTACAGAGCAACATGCAGCAATACTGATGCAGATTAAAGGGAGAGCTGGAAAATTGTGCAGTTTAAATAGACCGCCAGATGGAAAGGTGTGTGTTGGTTAGGGATTATAGAGTGTTGAGGCATGTGTATAGCAGTGCAGCTCGTGTTAACTGCCTAAACTATCTTGCAGGCTTTGCTCCATTTATATTTATGCCTGTGTGTGTATTGTTCAACAGAAATAGAATGTACAGTACCCGATATTGCAAATGGTCTTGTGACTGGAGATATCCGAGTGTACAAGAACATGAAATCCTGCATTAATGAGGTGCAATCGTTTCTACAAAGCGCACTGAAGGGAGATCTTCAAAATGCACAAAAGTAGGAACAGGAGCAGAGTGGAGCCCCGCACCTATTGTGTGAACGTATGTATAAACAGTAATTTTATAATTGGTTTATATCACACACTGACTTGTAAAAACTGGTCCTGTATATATGGATGTCATGGTAATATCTACATCAAACTAACAGATAATGTGCTTAATCTCCCAACAAATGCAGCAATAAAATGTCAACTGAAACCTGCCACCAATAGAAGGAACCACGTATGAACTGCTGGCAGAAAGTCTGTTTTTACCTGGTGACGAATTAACAGTCAGATGTGAGGACGAGGTTGTGGATTTTGAACTTTCGTACAACCTCAGTAAGAACTACATGCAATGAACTTGGAGAATGGACTTATCACACCAGTATGCAAAGGTACAAACTACATGGGCTACTAGTACCAGAGACAGATTAATGTGTGTGTATGATTGATTATGATTATTAATCTTATCGCATTTTACTTTAAGATACACAATCTTTCTCTTATTCTAGAGGTTTATGCACTAAATATGATCCACTTGCTGATACTGGACAAATACCGGAACCAAATAAAAATTGGGATGAGACTACAGGTTATGAGTGTGTGCGAAACTACAAGAGGCCAGGTCGAATCACAAAAGCCAGATGTACCAGAGATGGGTGGAGTCCAAATCCACTTTGTCAAGGTATTGTGAAGTTAAGCTTGTGTTTTTGACATTACCGTTAATTTTGTGTTATATTTCTTCAAGTTAGGAGAATCGTTT